GGAGGATTCGAAACCCAGGCTTCACGCTAGAATAAATGAGGCTGCAGACGCTGCATTCACTGTTTGTTCTCCAGCGTAGTTTTCTGGAAGGATGACCTTCGTCCCGCAGGAGGAAAGCCCAAATCAGACACAGTGCTCTCCCCCTTTGTCCGGCCCCTTCTCCCTTGGTGAGATCTGGCGGTTCGGGCTGTGGACAGCCTGAGTATTTCAGTGGCATATCCCTGTTCCTTTAGCTTGTAACTCCAGCTTCGGTTGGTTTTTCTCGATAATGTCACCAAGATTGAATTTAAAATGATGCAGACCACGTCTCTCCCTCATAAAGGGACCGTGACCATTCTCATCAGGTCCCCCGTTTTCCAGCCGGGCTGACGTCACGGAGGCCGTCAGCAGAGGGTGTCCCCGGCTTTCATTCTCTGACAGTGTCAGAGCCTGAGAGAAGATGAATTTAGAAGATGAAATAATGTTTGCACCATTAAGCTCATCGTCTTCCCTCCCCAAGGAATCATCTTACCTTTATGATTGTTCTGCATGTATTATGTTTATTGTGGAAATGTTTATGTTACGTGCTTTCCATATCAGGGAAAATCATACCTGTTTGATAAATTGGCTATAAGTACTATCTGTGGAAAACTTGTAAAATTTGGGATGTATCATATGTAAAGAGTTTAAAGATATCCAAATAAATGCTTTAGGTGTTGACATTACTTTGGGCCTGTCTGCATTTTCTTTCTGTTTTGTTTCACGCACTTAAATACCAGGAAGTGTTCCCCGTGTCACCTTGCTACAAAAAAGTGGGACATCTGTATTAGCTTTAAATATAAGATGCTTATATTATTAGTGTCAGGTATGGCCATTAGCCAAACGATCTTGACCTTCCCATAGAAAGCTTGATCATCATTTCAGCTGATTAAGTGTGATCTTCATTGGCCGTGACAGCTCGTGACCTTTCTGAACCATTATGGACCTCAGGCCACCGGAAAAACAGGCACTTGGACTTCCTCCCAGCTCCGAGGCCTGTCTCCGGGTTTCAGCTCTTGCTCATTTTTGCCTGACCCCAGTCCTTGTTCTTACACACTCCCCAGACATTGGCTGCTAATGAGAGAAACATGGAGGAGGGGAGCTGCATCCTGTATTTGCAAGGGAGGCATTGCCTGTGAGAGCTCTGCTGTACTTTCCAAAATTCTCTGGAAAAGAAAGTGTCCCACTGAAATGGGCAGGTTTCCACTGTGCTGCCCCTGGTCGTAGGTGCTGCTCTCGGCTCCCTACCCCCCCCCCTCCTGGTGTCGTTGGGTCAGGGTTCGCTGTGCCTCTACTGTTGTTCTTTTTTTATTGTTGACATCACTGCAGATACTTCCATCCCCCCGCCCCCCGGTACCGCTCCTCCCAGTCCCCACACCCCCCTTCCCTCTGGCCGTCGCCACACTGTTGTCTGTGTTTATGGGGTACGCATCTGTGTTCTTCCTCTTGTTTTTCAAGTTAGGTTTTTTGAGGTTTGTTTAACCACCTCAACCAAGAAACAGAATAGTCCCAGCATCCCAAGCTCTCTCATGCCCCTTTGTGGTCACCTCCCCATCCTGATTCCTGGAAATCACTAAGTTGTTTTTGTCCCTTAATGTGATGTGTCCTTTTGAGTCCAGTCTCTCACAGGAAGACATGCGTTTGACAGTCATCCCTGTTTCTTTCGGTTGCCAGTCACATTCCACTGTGCATGTGTAGCAGGTGGATTTACATGAAATAGCAACACATGTATCATGTATGTACCTTCGGGTGTCTGCTCACCAGGTAATGCTTATGCAGTTACCAGGGGAAGGACTTTGTGGGGATTTTTGTTGATTATAAGTAAAGCCACTGTAAACTTGCATTTACAGGTAATTGTGTGTGCCCGAGTTTTCATTCCCTTTGGATCAATAGTTGTGAGTTTTCCTTCACAGTTCAGGGGTATCCAACCTTTTGATGTCTCTGGGCCACACATTAAATACACAAACACTGACAAAAACTAAAGAGCAAAAACAGGTTTTAAGTAAATTTACAATATGTGTTGGGCTGCGTTCTTAGCCATCCTGGGCCGCAGGTGGACACGCCTGCATCCTCACCCACTCTATCCCACCTCGTACATCTTCTTTAACTTTACTGTTTATGCTCATCCTTCGTTTGCAGGACAAGATAGGATGCTGTCAGCAGTTAGGACTGATGGATCCTCCTTTCGAGCTGATCTCAAGTTCACTGAGCATTAGGAAGCTACCCCCTCTCCCTGGACTAACGAGTTACTCCCTCGCATTGCTATTCCTGACACACAGTGCTGCAGGCTGGCCACAGTCATCAGAAGCTGTCTGTTTAGAATGAGCCAGCTGCACTCCCTTCAGATGATCCCACTTCTGTTGGCAACAACCAAAGCGTCATAGTCTGGAGCCGGTCAGACACAGGCCTTCTTTCCATTCGGCTTGATCTGGGTATTGACCTTGGCCACGTCAATATCATAGAGCTTCTTCATTGCCTATTTGATCTGGTGCTTCTTGGCCTTGGCCTCCACTATGAACACAAGTGTGTTGTCTCCCATCTGCTTCATGGCTGACTCGGTAGTTCCGGGGGACCTGATGGTGGCACTGGTCAGGCCTGCTGCTCCTGGGGGCGCCCTTCCGAGGACATTTAGGCTGCCTTTGGAGCCACGGTATCTTAGGCCTCCTCCAGAAGGGGGGTAACACGCAGATCTTGTTTTTTGTGGCTGTGGACTGTCTTTGCCTTCAGAGCTTTGGCTTTGGCTTCGGGAGGGGCTTCCTTCTTCATTTTGGGCACCATCTTCATGAAAAGAGAAGCTGTCTTTTTATCTAGTAGCCAGTCAGAGACTCTTAATTGCCTTTGGTCCTCCCCCCCACCCCATCCCACCCTGACCCAGGCTAAGCTGCAGCCCTGGCCTAGCATTACAAGTGCCCAGACCAGGAGGGGCAGGGCAGTGTGCAGAGCAAGCAGCTAATCTTATTAACCCGTATTGAGGTTACTTGGGGTTTATTTGTGGGTGGCTCAGTAAGAGGCTGTGGGTTATTGAGCTAAGTCCACAAATTCTAGGACACTCACCTTCCTAAATACTCAGAATAACTAGTTATTCCCTAGTCTTCACTGTGGAGTAAGTGTTTTGAACATAAAAGTCCTAAGGCACTGTCTTTACCTCTCACACGACCCCAGGGCGAGGCTGGCAGGACTTTGAGAACTGGCTGAGTCTCTTGGGCAAAACAAATTTGTACTGGCCCAAGGAAAGACTGAAGCTAGACACAAGGAAGAACCCGGTACCAGAGTCTAGCCGGACACTGGTAGATGACCAAAAGAGATGGGCCAGCTTTCTCTGGCCAGTGTAGCTCCCTGAGAAGACCTGTTAAAATGCAGCTCACCCTCAGTCTGCTCTGGACCAGCTGGTGGTACTCACTGGAGGGTCAGTTTTCCTTGGTCCTCCCAACAGCCCCCAGATCCTGAGGTCACTGATGTCTGCCCTGTGCCCTGGCCCCACCAAGACTCATATTTTTTGTTTGGCTAAAATATGTTTTGACCAGAGCAGGGGAAAAAATGTCTTGCAGTTTTTACTTATATCACTAAATGAAGATACTACATATTAAAATACTAGATCAGTTCAGCTCTGGCCCAGGCAAAATGTTGAGATGCCTTGGATAACCTGCTGGCCACCGTTTTTGCAGGTGAGAGAGAGCAAGAGGGAGAGTGGTGACTGGTGCCGTTGGAACGCAGCCGCCTGGCCTGCCTGACCGCTGACAGCGCCTCCTTTCAGAGGCAGGTTGGGTTTTGTTAACATCTGGTAGAGTTGGGGGCCCAGGGGCAGGTGCTGTGGGACAGGCCAAGACAGGCATTTTCATACAACACGCAGAAGTGGTTTGCATGCAATATACTTTTTAATGTCTGTTGTACAGCTGCGAACAGTGTGGTTACAGGTCTGCCCTAGAGCAGCGTGTTTGCAGCGGTTCTCAGCGCTCCTGAGTGGGAAGAGGGCCCGGGGCGCCCGTCCAGGTGACTGCCTGGGCACTGAAGTCAGATTAAACCTGGGACCAAAGTCTGCCTGCCACTGTCCAAACATCTCTGATGGGTCTTAACCCTGGGAGAATTAGAGCCCCAGAACAAACCCCCGGCGGCACCAAAAGTCTTATTTTCTCCACACTTCAAACTCAGGATGGTACTGAAATCATTTTCTCCTTCAACTAAAAAAAAAGTTTCCTCTCTCTTTGCCCGAAGGGACTGAAAACTTGCGTCTCGGTTGCTAGCTCCGGAGGATGGGCGGTCCGGGACGGCTGTGTGGGAGGACGGCTCTCCGGGGGCGGGAACAGGAAGACACTCCCGAGGACTCTGCCCTCCGCTGTGGACAGTTGGCTTGGCGTCGTCCACTGCAGCCGACACGGCCACCTGTGCGGGCCCACCAAGAGCTGAGGCCTGGTCTCCGGGAGGTGGACTCCGGTCTGACGGTGGCTCCTCCTCCACGGAAGGGCAGCCATCCCACCCAGGGCCGCCGCAGACAGCGGAGGAAGTGGTCCAGGTCTACGCGGGGGTGTGGCTGGGACCTGCTGGTGGCGCCTGGACTTCCCTAGCCATGACTCGCCCCTGGCTAAGTGAGGGCAAGTGAAGGAGACACAAAAGCAGGCCTTGAACTGCATTTTCTTCGGCAAGAAGTAATCCCCTGTCTTTAAGTTCTCGTACCCCACGATTGGAGAATTCCTCTTCTGCGCTGTCGCTGCTTCGGAGAGTCCATTACTCAGAATGAGTGTCACCGTTTCCCACCTTCCACCACCAAACAAACAAAATGGCTGACCTGACAAGGTTAAAATGCTGACCTTGGCATTTTTTTGAAATGACAGTATGGCCAGTACATTTTTTCAGACTCCTGTGCTTTTGTACCTAGCGATGCTTTGGATATAGGATGAAGCAGCGTGGAATTCATAATGGCAGACCCATCAAAGGGACACGGACCTCAGATGTGGCCGGTAGCCTCGGGTGGAAATGAACTCAGGTGCCGGGAGAGAGACAGGCTGGGGCATAGGCGTCCGCCGAGAGGCCACTGTGAGGGCCTGGCCACAGCAGTGGGCCTGGGGGGCTCAGTCACTCACATTTTGAGTCAGTCCTTCAACAAGCGTTTGCCAAATGCTTTTAGGGAGTCTAAATTTTCAGTCCCACCATCAAGGAGAGTCTCTCTAAGATGGCCACTCTCCTTGGGAGATTCAGACTGGACGACAGGGAGTGTCCGCGGTTTTTGGAGTCCACTGCTTCCCAGTGTTCCGGAGGGCAGGGGCCTGGGGCCGTCAGCCAGCCTCTGGGGCCTGGCCTGCGTCTGCGCCCTCGGCTTCCACCTGGTTGCTCTTGCCCAGCCTCTTCAGGCTCTCCAGAAAGGCCTTCCAGGTCTCCGGCACGCTCTTCTCCAGCAGCCAGCCCTCGCTCTCACACTCGGGATCCTCGGGGTTGGACAGGCTTTCCAGTGCTGTGTGCAGGTAGCGCAGCCCCACTGTGACGGCCACCTGGCGGGGGAAGAGGAGACTTAGAGGAGGTCTGGCAGGAGTCGCCGGGGGCTGCAGCTCTCTGGAAACCATGGGAACCACTGCACTGTTCGTAGCTGGGGCCTTTCAAATAACACGGGCTCTGGCCAGCCAGGTTCGGGGGTCCCGCCCACCTCGGCCTGGCCTGGGCGGTCGAGACGCCTGCCCCCATCCAGCCTCATCGGCCCTTCTCCCTTTCTGGCCGCTGCTTCTCGGGGATCCCGCCACACCCCAGCCTTTCTGTTCCCCAGCCTGTGCCACGTGCTGTTTTCTATGCCCAGAACATCGTTCCTCCCTACACTCGGCTGGTAATTCAGCCTCAGCCCTCGGTGCGTGTCCCTGCTCCTCATTCTCCTTCCCTTCCCCTCAGGGCTCTTCTGTCCTGCGGGCGTTGGGCCTGGGCTCCTCCTCCCCACGCCCGCGCCCATTCCAAACACGTTTGGCACACACTGGGTATTCACTGCTGGAGGGAATTCACGAGTGACCGCCTTTTCTGCAAACAGCCTGCTCTGTGGCTTCCTGCACTTCTGTTATCTTCAGTGGTGTGTGTGGGGTGAGTGGGTGATTGGTTTGGATTTGCTCACTAGCAGTCACTGGGACACACCCTGTGCCAAATGCCCGGGTTCAGACCCCAGCTCTGGCACTTAGCCAGACACGTGACCAGGAAACCTCCGTTCACTCATCTGGTTTGCGAATGTTCAGATGAAGTGTCGCCTGTGTACCGTGACGCTTCAGACCGCGTAGGACGCGGCACCTGGTGCAGTGAGGATGAATAGAGGTGTCAGCCGTGACCAGTTATTAGTCAGCGTGGTGAGTATTGTTTTCAGTTGTCTAATAAAATACTGTGTTAGCCACTTATTTCTGCACAAATTCCTGGTTCGCTGTCATACCCTTCTCCTTTCAGGGTGCAGCAGGCTGCGGAACAACCAGGCCCGTCACCGAGGGTGCCCCCCGGGGGGCAGGGCCGGCCCTGACCCATCTCGTCCGCGCAGCGTCCCTACAACGGCAGCGGCTGGTGGCAGGGCCTCAGCAAACATCTGCTGAGCAAATGCTTCAGGGGCATTTTACCAAGTGTGGCAGTAGATGGTAACAGCAACTAATAGGGTTTTAGGATTTTGTTATTGGTATTTTCAATTAAGTTTAAATTTTTGTGTGTTTTTTTAAATCCTCACCCAAGGATGTGTTTTTTGTTTTTTTTTTAATTTTATAGAGAGAAGAAGGAGAAAGAGGAACATTGATATGCGAGAGGAACATCAATCAGTTGCCTCCTGTCCATGCGCCGACTGGGGATCGAACCCCCAGCCTAGGTGTGCGCCCTGGCCAGGCACTGGACCTGCCACCTTTTAGTTCACAGGATGACACTCCAACTGACTGAGCCATTCGGTCAGGGTAAAAGCCTAACACTTTAACACTGGAAAAACTTACTCTTCCTGGAAGCCCTCCAGGTGTGCATGTACCCACTGAGATCCCCTCCCGCTTTCCTGAAGGAGGCCCACCACTGCACTGAGTTTTGCACTTGGTCATCGCTCTCCCTTAGGTTCATGAGTTAGATGTCCTCTCCTTACTGGACCGTGAAGCCTGGAGGGCAAGGCTCAAGGCAGAATTTAATCTTAGCCCAGCCACCTTCGTGCCCATCACAAAGCTCTGTCCACCAGAAGCCTCCAGTTAAAGTCAGGGGTACTCACACTCCCCATTCACAGTGAGCTGGTTCTCACCTTACGCAGCATCTAGGTCCCTGGAAAGGTGGGTGTACTGAGAGGCAGCGAGTGGAACTCCAGCCTTCTAGCAGTAAGTTTCCCTCCTAATTTTACACACTGATTCCCAAGACTTTGCCTCAACAGTAAAGGAAGCCCTCCTGCCCGCCCCGCCCCCAGGGAGTGCAGGCCTGCTAGTGTGATGTGCTGAGTTAGAAATGGGGTTTCTCAGAAGTGGGGCTCAGCCCAGGGCACGAGAATTTCCACAGCACCAAGAGACCTGCTTGGGGAACCTTTCGGTGAATCTTCTCTGATGGAAAGTTTCCCCACCTAGTGATTCGGATTTTGTACATGTGGTATTTGGAGCTTTGATATTCTCTTAGCTCAAAGCAGAAGCCGAGCCACCCTCCCACTACCACTCACTGACCCAGCCTCTTGTTCAGCACCCAGGACAGCGCCCAGAGCAAGCTAAGTTTGGGAAATCCCTTCAATAAGTGAATTCAGCTTTCACTGAGGACTTGCTACATTCTAAGCCCTGAGGCTACAGAGAGGAATTAAACTTAACAGCTGAGATAAGATGAAGCCACAAGTAATTGGAATAACAGGTAAATGTCAACTGACATCTCCAGAGAAGTGTGAGTCCACATGGCTTCCGTTACTGGATGTCCACCCAGACCTGCCATCTCCTGTTGCCCCCCAGTGTCCCAAAGCTAAGTGCTGTCAGCCCCCTGCAACAGACAGGTTCAATAAACTTTCCAAGACTTCAGATCAAAAAGTGGAGGCACAGATGAACCTCCAAAACATGCACAGTGAAAGCAGCCAGACACAAAATGTCGCCTCGTGTATGAGGTCTGTCCAGAAAAATCCCAGCCGTTTGTTACTGTAACGAGAATGGTGTGCACGCGGGGCCAGCCCACAGCCCAGCAGTGCAGCCGAGGAGAGGGGACTGGACCGCGCACGTGGGAGCAATGACCATTTCACTGTCTCGTCAGTGGGGGCGGCAGAGAGCACCGCCCTTACACGAGGGCCCTTGAGTGAGCACGTGTACTGTGTGGCCATCGCATTCACAATGACTGAGTGAGTAGAGTGACACATCTGCCTCAGACACTGCTGTAAGTTTGAACAGTCCTCGTCGAAAACTATTCGGATGACTCAGAACACAGCAGTGAGCAACTGGTGCCTGGCAGCTTCATCATGACAACGCACCCACCCGTGTATCAAGTCTCATGTGGAGTTTATGGCCAAACATGAAATCATGCAGGTGACTCAGCCCCCCGATAGCCCAGATTCAGCACCCCGTGACTTCTGGCTTTTCCCCCTGGCTTTTCCCAAAATTAAAATCACCTTTGAAAGGTAAAAGATTTCACACTGTCAGTGAGATTCAGGAAAGTATGACAGGGCAGCTGATGGCGATTGGGAGAACCGTGTGAGGTCCCAAGGTGCCTACTTGAAGGGTGCTGAGGCACCACTGTCCTATGCACAGTGTTTCTTGTATGTTGTATCCTCTTCAGTGCATGTCTGTTTTTTGTATTACTGGGCTGCATACTTCCTGGACAGGCCTCCTATGATCCTATTTCTATGAAATGCCCAGGTTAGGGAAATGCACGAGGACAGACCCCAGATTGGAGGCTGCGGGGGCTGGGGGAGTGGGAGTGACTGCCCAGTGGGCACGGGGTGTTCTGTGGGGCGACGAGGTGTTTGGGGGCCAGACAGAGGTGGCGGCTGTACGACACTGTGACTGCCACCGAATTGTTCACTTCGAAATGGTTAGTTTTGTGTCCTGTGAATTTCACCTCAATGAATTATTGTTTAAAGATTTTACTTATGTTCAGAGAGAGGGGAAGGGAGAGAACAGCAATGTGTGAGAGAAGCATCAGTTGGCTGCCTCTTGTGCTCCCCTAACCCGGGACCTGGCCTGCAACCCAGGCCTGTGCCCTGGCCAGGAATCAAACCAGTAACCTTTCAGTTCGCACGCTGGCACTCAGTCTGCTGAGCCACACCAGCCAGGGCTCAGTGAATTATTTTTTAAGTGATAGGACAGAAAGGACAGAAATAAAAAGGAAGTGGAGGAGCCAGAGTTCAAGCCTTGGCCTTCATGACCCACTGCAGGGCAAGAGGGCTGGTTGCAGGGAGGCCAGCATGTGCTCCAGGCCCAACTCCACCAGTTTAAATGCAAATGGAGCAAGTGGCTCCTTCTTCCCCTGCCACCCACCCTGGGCCAGGAGCCTACCTCAAAGAGCCAGACGAGGAGCGTGGCGGCGCCCATCCAGTTCATGAGGCTGCTATAGTAGCTCAGCAGGGCGGCCCTGCAGCCTTGCAGCCACAAGTTGAGCTCCTCCGTCTGGTGGTCATAGCTGTAGTGTGCCGAGTTGTTGGTGAGCTGGTACTGGATGCAGGGCCGCGGCGAGTTAGGGTTGCAGCAGCTGAAGGGGACGCCGTCCACCAGGTACCGCCCATCCACGTTGCTCTTGATTCGACTGCAGGAAAAATAGCCAGCTTGAGGGGGGCTTCTCAGACTTTTCACCAGCCACCAGTGCCTCCCATCCCCCACCTACACTGTTCATTCACCCATTTGCTGCGTACCTGCTATGTGCCAGTTCTAGGCACTGAAGATAGAGCAGTGACCCTAGAGAAGCAATGTCCTTGCCTTCCTGGACCTTACGTTCAGAAGGCTGAGACAGATGATAAACCAGGAAGCCAGTAAATAGGGGGTGTGGAGGTCATCCAATCTCCCTGGCATCCAACAATTTCTTAGAGCCATGGCAGGCTGGTCGGAGCAACAGGACAGGCAGTGACCATGGAACAGGACTCTGCCTAGTATTTGTGACCATCAGACTAGCCCCAGCTCTGTCTCCAGCTTCATGTCCCTTTCAAGTCACAGGGCCAAGACACCTTGTGGCCAGATCAGTTCTGCTCAGTGGTGTTTCCAGGGCCTGTGCAGGGGGTGAGCCCGAGACAGGCGCCGTCCTCGCCCTCAGTTTGCTCACCGTCCACGTAAACCCTCTCCGAGTGGGTGGGAGCTCCTTCCTTACCTAAAAGATGCAGCCCACATAACTTTTGCATTTCTGTATTTATGCGTGTATTTGGTTAGAGCACATTATACGTCCATGTGGGTTCAGAATTCAAAAACAGGAGACATCTTTGCAATGAAAGGTCTCCCTCCCCATCCGAAGGGCTGGGTAAGTTCTGCCTGACCCGAGCGAGGTTGTCCAGGGTCTTCATGTGTCAGAATCTATCAAGCTGCTCACTTAAGATTTGCACATCTGATCATGTATATATTGTCTTAAGGAAGAAAAGGTTTTTTCAAGTTGCAAGTGAGCAATGCATTCCATAACAGTGGCAGACTTTTACAACACAAGAATAGAAAGCCTGTACTTGTTTAAAATGGAAATTGTTTTCAACAATGTGCCTTGAAATAATTATACCCTGAAAGAAAAAGATGTTCATGTTTAGCTTCTAAACAAAATCTCTTGATTCTTTTGTTTACCAGTTCTTCTACATTTTAATTTATTAACTTGCTGTGAAAACACTTTAATCTCTAAATGAAACTTCTAAGAGAAAGAACGAATCCGTAAGTCCCAGGACGGAGACACAGCTGCACAACCGTGCCAGAGACCGACCAGGGCAGACTCCTTCCTGCTCGCTCTGGCCCGGTTTGCAGCCGGCCACGTGCTGGAGCCGCTCTGCGTTTCACGTGCGGACGACGTGTTCCGCACCTGCCCTTGAAGGCAGCAGCACTGAACTCCTTCACATTCAGCTACAGCAACGTATCCTAGTCATGTCTGTAGAGCAACAACAAAAAACCAGCAACGGTCACGCAGCCATTTTATTCTCGGTAAGAGAGTGAACCTGACACCCGATGTCCTGTTTCACGGAGTCAGGTCATCTTACTGAGAGGGAATTGAAATGATAGGTTATTTTGCTACCTACCAGAATTTTTGTCCTGAATTTGTTTCTTGAGAAATTTCTACCAAAAAATCATTTAATGATTTAATGTATTAAACATTTGCTTTATAAAGTAATAAATAAGATTTGCTTAATACAACAAAGTCTCCCCTCATTCTTACCCCTGGGCCTCCAGCCCCCACTGTGGCCAGTGCGTCCGTCCTTCCAAGAGAGTCCTCGTGCAGGGACAGGCAGACACGGGTCCTGCAGACGCTCTCGTCCGTACTGTTGGTCGGTTTGTCTTTACCCAAGTGGCAGCGATATATACAAGCTATTTGGAATGTGCTTTTTCCCCTGAACAGTAGCTTAGAGATGTTGTGTATGTCAGTGGGGGCGTTTGCAGGTTTTTGATGTGCTGCACGGTGTCTCCACTGTGCGGACAGTCAGCAGGGCGCTGGGCAGTGCCCCATGATGGAGGTTTGGGGTTTCCCAGCCTCCCGGTAATACAGACACGGACGTGGGTCCTCTGCATATTGTGACTGTCTAGAGGGTGAATTCCTAGAACAAGCACTCCCACATCAGAGGGCGGGTCCGTCTGGTGACCCCTGCCCCAGCCACGCACGAGAGAGCCCGCCAAACCCACACCGGTTGGACGACAGAAATGAAAGCTGATCCACGAACAGCAGTATCTCAGGGGTGTTCTAACTCCCATTTTTGTCTTTATGAGTGAATTTGAGTATCTCTCAGCATGTGTAAGAGCCTTCCATGGTGCTCGCTGCGCTAAAATGGGAACCACACAGAGAAGGTTAGCGTGGCCCCTGTGCAAGGCTGACACGTGAACTCGTGAAGCGTTTTGTATTTTTACTCAATAAAACTTGAGACAATTTTAAAAATCCAATTATGATTCCTTTCCAGTGAACTGCCCTTTGCTGCCCGGTATGATTGGGACTTTACGGAAGCTCCATCCAATGTGGCCTCCTTGGTTCCAGAACGGTCCTTGCTTGGGTTGTGATGACCATATCTCTGCACTGAGTTCCACTCCCTGGACAGGACCCACCGCCTGTGGAACCGGCGGCCCATGTGATGAGAGCAGGCTGCCTGGCTTATTTCCGGTTTGTCTCTTTGGACAGGTTCCTTAACCGCGCCAAACCTGAGGCTCCTCGCCTGTAAACTGGAGTGGACAGAAGGGTCGTAGGAAGGGATACATGTAAAAAGGCTTCACAGAGTGCCCGGTACATGGTCAGTGAACACAGGGTCATGGGCCAGGGGTGGGCGGGGTTCAGAGCCAGAGACTCTGCTTTCTGTGCCCTCGGGGAGCGGCTGTGACAATGTGGCACATTACGTTGCTGGGCCCAGATGCTTTTGAGTGGGTGGCGAGGGTTCTGCCAACTGTGAAGAAGCTGTGAGCACAGCTCACCGCCAGCCGCCGTGGGGACTGTTGGACCCGCCAGCCCACAGAGGCAGCGGCTGCGGTTTTCACTCCAGCCCTACTGACTGCACGTGAGCAGCGTCTGCCCGGACCTCGGGGGCCAGGAGCCCCGGCGCAGCCGCACAGCCGCGCAGACGCTGGCCTCTCACCCCAAGACCAACCCTGACAGGACCTCCTCAAGGCCAGGGCGTCCAACCTCCAATGCTGTTCACCCCTCTTCCTGACCGGCAGGCTGCCCAGTATAGTGTCCCATCCCTGGCGTCCCCTGGGCACCTCACACTCGTGATCTGCATTTGAGTCGCCTCTGGGAGCTGTGTGAGGTGGGGATAACCGTACCCCCCCTCAGGGGCTGTATAAGAATGCAAGGAATGTACTTTGTCCCAGGCCCCCAAAGAACGTTGGCTCCGCCCCACTTAGGGCCATCTCCCAGGGACCTCGAAAACCGCCAGGTTGTCCCACAGGGCAGCAAGGGGCCCAAGGCAGGGCCGGGCCTCACCGGAGGCCACACAGGAAGTGGAAGGACCATCCCAGACAGTTGGCCTCTCCTCCCTTCAGAGTTTCCTCTGTCTCTCAGATCTTCCCTGCCAGCTGGCTTTTCCAAATTTCCTAAAAAGTGTGCCTTTCCCTCCCGTGACCCTGTCCCAGCAGCTCTTTCCTGTCCACCGTGCCCTACCCTTCAGCATCTCCAGGTGTCCCTGTGCTGGGCTAGAGCCTGCAGACCTGCCTCATGTGTCTGACGTGAAGGCCAGGCCTGCAGTTCTGTGGGCTGAAGCCCGTAGAGTCTGATCTTCAGTCTGCAGGGTGGCCTTCTGGAAGGCCATGTCTCCCCTCGGACTGGGGCTCCCTGAGGGCAGTTCTGTGTCTCCCCTTCTCATGTCCCCCCTTACCACCTCCAGGACTTCATATCTGTGCCTACCCCCCCAAAAAAAGAAACACTAATACTGTGCTGCACTTTAGACACACCAGGTGCTCTGTGTGCGTTAACCCATTTAATCTCCACCACAGCCCTGCCAGGTACTTATCTTGTCATTTCTCAGCTCAGAAAACTGAGGCTCACAGAGGTGGAGTCACCCAGGTTCCACGGGTGCCTGTAGCTAGTGCTCCAGGGATCTAATTCGTCCCTCCTGTCCTCGGCCGTGCTCACTTCCATGGGGCTCTCCTTCCTGATGCACTGATTCACTGACCACACTGCGTTGGCATTTCCAGGCCAACGCCGATGTGATGATTTTCCTGAGTCGAGTGTGGCTTGGCCATGGGAGACTGGGTTAGCTCACAGGCTTTGTCGTAACCGAGACCCTACAAGCCCTGCCGAGCCTGAGCAGAGCAAGATTTGCAGCCTCAGAACTACGCCGCCATAAATAGCCAGCCCTCTCCCCAAGGAGCCATCTTTGCCTGGCTTTGTCTTAAGAGGCCGTGTGGGGCCTTAATCTGTGGTTGGAACCAGGGCAGCACTGAGTAAACAAGATGATGCTTCTGGCAGGAGCAAAGGCTAGTGCCAGGGGTGGGACCCCAAGAAGTCCCAGGCTGGGGACCCAGGGAAGCCCTAGCCTCCAGCCAGGCCTGCCTCCCCCACACTGAGCTGGGCCCCACCCTGAGGGAGACACCGCCCTGCCCTCAGGGAGCTTCCAGAGCTAGAAGACCAACCGACCGACCGTGCAAAGTGCGGGCTCAGTGTGCATCCTGATTCGAACAAACCAACTGGAAAAGACATTTTCGGACAATCAGAATATTGAACAGAGTCTGGGTATTAGATGATATTGATGTTAATTTTGTTGATGTGATTAATATTGTGCATGTGTTAAACAAAAGTAAAAGGGCAAAACAAACAAACCACCCTTATGAATGCCTCCTACGGGCCCTGGCCGGCGTGGCTCAGCTGGTTGGAGTGTCGTCCAGACAAGAGTTGCAGGTTGACCCCTGTTCAGGGTACAGGCCTAGGTGGGGGGTTCAGGGCAACCAGTCAGTGTTTCTCTCTCTCCCTCCCTAACCCTCTCTCTAAAATCCATAAACATATCCTTGGGTGAGGACTGAAAAAATAAATAAGAGACACCTCCTCGAACACTTGCAGGTAAAGGGAAACGATGTACAGGGTGGGTGTTGATGAAACAAGAAAGGCAAAATCTCTGTGTTTGTTGAACCTCGGTGATGGGAATTCCTTATAATCTCTCTGTTCTTGTGAATGCTTGAAATTTTTTGTAATAAAAGTTGAAAATGCAAAAACCAAGAGCACTGGTCGAAAACTACAAATCCAGACCTAGCTCTGAAGGCTCAGCGTTCCCAGACTCACTCCTCCTTCCAAGACAGACACACACACACAGACAGACACACACAGCCCCTCACCCCCAGGCTGGTAAACACAGAAGCGAGAGGTTAGCGCACAGCCACAGGGAGGCTGTGTCTGGTGCTGGTGGGGCTACCCGCCCGCCATTATCTGAGACCCTGGCACAGAAGCACCGGGACCCAGTCAGAGCCGCATCCTTGCTGCCAGCGCCGCCCCCGTCCCTCCGGAGAAGGAAGTGGAGAACCAGGCAGAGAGACAGGGAGAGGGAGGACGAGGAGGCAGTGTCCCCACCCCCACCCCCAGGGTGGTCTGGAGAACTAGAGGTTCCAGGGAGTCAGCAATCAAAGATTCATGTGCCTCGGCATCTGCACGAAGGCGCACCTCAGCAACACCGTCTGGTAGGAAAGGGTGAGGGAGAAGCAGCCCCGAAACCCGGCTCTCCGCCAGCGGGGTGTGTGTTCCTGGACCCAGAGAGGAGTGGAGTTCTGACACCCGCTGCAACTCGGAAGACCTCTGACAGCGTCACACCGAGTGAGAGAAGCCAGCCCCGAAAGGGCAATGTCACGCGATTCTGCTCAAGGGCGGTGCGCCCACCCGGGAGGCTCCGCGGGGCGGGGCCGAAGGCCCTGGGGTTTCTCTTCGAACTGATGACAATGTTCTCAAATTGGCTGTGGTTATTGGTTGCACACCCACTCCGTGAATGTGCCAGAAACCATTCAGCTGCCCACCTTAAATGGGTGAGTTGTATGTTATGTGAATTATATCTCAATACAGCTGCTTTAAAAAAAATTGGCCGTGAGTTCTTCAGCAAGTCCCTTAATCTCTCTGAGGCTTAGATTTCTCATCTACAAAATAAAGATGAAAATTCCTAAAACAACTACACGCCGCTCCCTGCCAAGGAGAGGTTTTGTACAGAACAAACGAGGACATTTTCCCACCCAAACTGCCTGGCAACCTAGTGATGGGCAGGCCAGGGGGGAGGTGCTGCCACCAGACTACTTGCCTGGGACAGGGCCACCGAAAAGCTTGTAAATTCTTGTAAAAATCTCTAAGCATTCCTACTTGATCTCATTGTTTAGATCAGGAGTCTTTAGAAAACAGTCCTTAATCTTAAAGATTCTCCTAAGAATGTCCTGGCTGGTGTGGCTCAGTGGATTGAGTGCACTGACCTGTGAACTGAAAGGTCATGGGTTCGATTCCCATGCAGACAGGTGCCTGGGTTCAGGCCAGGCTCCCAGTACGGGGCAGGCAAGAAGCAATAGATGGATGTTGCTTCTGTGGCACATGATGTTTTTCTCCCTCCCTTCCCCCTTTCTAAAAATAAATAAATAATATATATATTTTAAAAAGATTCGCTTAAGAAATCTCCAAACTCAGCCAGCTCTGCCCCGCATGCTTGCTGAGGCCTCGAGCTCCGTAGCAGGCAGGGGCGAGTCCTGGGAGGCCCTGGGGAAGCGGGCGGGAGCCCAGCTCCTCCTGGAAGCTGGACTGGAAGTGCTGGAGACTGAGCACCTCTGCTCTCTCTGGCCCAGTCCAACGAGGTGTGCATTGCCCTGGGTGGACAGCGGCGCTCCAGGGGCAGAGCCTGCGGAAATGACCGGAGGTCGTGGGCACTGGACACTGCCCACACCCAGTACTGGTGTCGCTAGAGAATCCTGGTGCGTTCTTCCCCCCAGACTTCCATGCTTTGAGCAGCTCACTGCTCCTGGGATCACCTCCCAGAGTCCTCAGGGTCAAGGCTTTTGTTTGCTCCTCCAAATTTGGTAAGAAGAAAAAAAGGACAAAAAAAATTTTTTTAAGAAAATCTTAGTGACAGATAATACTGCCCTCTTGCCCTGCCTGCCTGCCTGTGAGGTCCTAGCCCTGCTTCTGTCCGCCTCCGCTTCCTCGGAATTCTAGCCCAGAGGACGCTGCCCAGAAAGCCAGCAGCAAATAAGGACGACTGAAACGCCTGCCTGTGTCCACTTGTCCAGCGGCATGTTACGCAACCGCTAAGCCTAACCGTTTCAGACAAATGCTGTGGGATGGCACTGGTATATGGAATCCGAAAAGCCCCAATTCTTAGGGCAGAGACTAATGGCGGCTGCCAGGGGCCGGGCGCTCAGAGCACGGACGTCCAGCTGTCAGGCGAACAGGGCTCTCACGTGCAGCACAGGGGCGTGGTTAACGAGACTGTGCTACATTCCTGACGGTCGCTGAGAGAGTAGGTCCTCCGTGTCCACTTCAGAAAGGAAACGGCAATTGCGTGACACAATGAAGGTGCCGGCCTTAAGGTTTTGGGGGTGATCGTTTTGCAATATGTAACTGCATCGAATCAACACGATGTACACCTTCGCCTCACACAGTGCTGTTTGTCAGTTACAGCTCAACGATGCTGGGGAAAGTGACGGTTTGGAAGATTATGTGGACATTATACTGTCAGACTAAAGAGCGGGGCACTCGGTTGTGTTTATGCCGAGGTCGTGCTATGTACATTATCAAGTTGACGTTAACAAGACTCGGAGGACATGTGAAAATCACTCAAGCTAGTGACGTTTAGTTGTGGGTGACAGTGCGACTCGAATTTCTTTTCTTGTTTTTGTTTCTCCTAATGTTGTCGCCAATTTTTGTGTGTGTGGAACAGATGCTTTTTTTCTCAGTCAATGGGGTTAAGATAGTTCCACACCATCCAGTTGGTGTGGAGCACTGAGCTTAATGTTGGCACGAAAATGTAAATGTGCTGACCACTGGGGCTGGGACAGCCTGGGGATCTTCTCTGCTCTGGGGCAAGAGGGGATTTGGGGATTACAGAGAGACTTCAAAGTCTCTCTAAGGACTGACCCTGTGCGGAAGGCAATCAAGGAAAATGGCAGGAAGGGCTCAAAGCCCCTCATCTGCTCACAAAGGCTGGTCTGGAATCAGCATCCCCCCTCCCCTGCCCCCACCCCCAGGAATTCTGCTTGTCCCTCTGGCTTCACATCCTCCTTAGGAATCTAATTCAGATCTTGGCTCCTTGTGCTGCCTCTGCAGGCCTGTCTCCTAGGAAGGGAAGAGCAGTTTACAAGTGTCTCCTTGACTAGGGATTTGTAGCAGTAATACCCACCCTCGGAGAAAAGAAAATGCCACCCTGGCCAGGTACCCAGTGCCAGCACGCCAAGGCTGAAGTCAGGGCACGTGCAAGAATCAACCACTGAGTACATAGATGAGTGGAACAACAAATAGATGTCTCTCTCTCTCATCAATAAACAAAAAAAAAAAGAAAGAAAGAAAAGAAGACCCCAGCAGTGAGCGACCTTCAGTCTGACCTCCTGCCAGCTGAGGTGCAGCCTTCCACGTTCACCAGTGGGCCATCTGGGCTTCAGGCACGCCCTGCTGCCAGGGTGCCCAGCACCCTGTGTGCAAGTCCCCTGGGCTCGCCAGCCTCACTCACGGGAAAACCCACCCCGACGGTCAGCTGAACCTCTCGCTCAGCCAGGGAACAGGTCGGGCTGGACAGAAAGAAGAGGCTCAGGGCAGGCTGCCCTCTCCCTGGAGAGTGACGGGAGACCCGTGGTGACGAGTGTGGGCGCCAGCACAGGAGCCGAGTCTCTAGCTCAAAGGCTAGATCCTCTTTCTCACCGCCTCCCGACATCTCACCTCAGGATTTTATGTTTTCACATGCAAGAATACCTTAGGAACACTTAATTGAGTTGAACCACTATGACTTAAGAAGTAAACGTTTAGGGAGCACCTGCTGTATGCCAGGCTCTAGGCAGAGCTAGGAAGTGACCTCCAAGATTATTCCAGTGCCTTTATTCAAAAGATGAGCAGTCCCGGCTGGTGTAGCTCAGTGGATTGAGTGCCAGCCTGCAAATCAAAGGGTCGCCAGTTTGATTCCCAGTCAGGGCACATGCCTGGGTTGCAGGCCAGGTCCCCTGTGGGGGGCACATGAGAGGCAACCACACATTGGTGTTCATCTCTCTCTCTTTCTCTCTCCCTTCTCCTCTCTCTAAAAATAAATAAAATCTTTTAAAAATATGAGCAAGCGAGGGCCCAGAAGGCAAGTGACTTACCCATGGCCACCAGCTAATTATTAACAACAGAGCCAAACTCAGCCCAGACTTCCTGACCACCCTGCCCCTGCTCTTTCTGCCACGGCCAAGGACAGACACCTCGAGAGCAGATGTTCAGGGTCCAAAGCGCGAGGAAAAGGAACTAACAAGGGAATTTAAGCTTCCGGGACTGAACCCATGTGCATTGAGTGAATGAGTCAAGTACGTTAGCCAAATTAACACCTCGGCATTTGTGCTCCACAAACGCCCAGTGTCTGCTGTGTGAAGCAGACACACGTTCCTGGCTGGGTCTTCCTCCCCGGGAACTCCCATCCGGCAGCTTATGTGACTTGGCACCTTCCTCCCACCAGAGCCAAACATCAGGTTGAACCATATGAAGCTGCCGTCTTTATAGATAAAAAATGTTAGAATATCGCCAACTCCATATGGTCCCACCAAGCACATCCTCACATGCACATTAGTAAGTTGTGCACAGAGACCACCCAAAGGGGAGGAGAAGACACTGGGCTTCCATGTCCCCACAGAGCTCTGATCCCGGGTCGGGAGGCCACTCACTCTTTGACTTCTTTGGAGGAAAAGTCCAGGTAGCGGTTGCTGATCCACTGAATCTCAAACCAGTCCCGAAAGCCATTGTTGCCGCAGCACCTGAACTCGATCTGCAGCAGGTCGATGGTCTTCTTCATGAAGCACCTGCCGGGCGTGTCCGTGTCCCGGTAGTACTTCATCCCGTTCTTGAGCCCGTGGGCCAGGGTGCTCTCCAAGGAGCCTCGCAGGAGGAAGCAGCAGAGGGCCACCAGAAAGAGGACAGTGTTGAAGAGGACGCAGACGGCCAGGTACGGCTTCAGCCAGGGCTTCCACTTGGCGTACTTGGCAGGGTCCAGAGCATCATAGCAGATCTTGCCGGCCAGAGAGTTGAAGACACAGGACAGTAACCCCACCCCTATCAAGGAGTTGGGCACAAAGTGGCTCTCCGAATTATTCATCACATCGCTCCTCTTCCGAAGCTCGATCTTCAGGAACAGCCCTAGGCTGAAGATGACAATGCCGGCCAACACAGAGAGCCAGTTCATGAGCCAGAGCCCTTGGGCCAACTTGACCCGTTTCTTCTGGTCGAACTTGATTTTCAGCAGCGCCATGCTTGCAGGGTGCAGTCGGGGCAGCCTCCCACAGCACAGCTCCCTCTGGTGACCTTAATGAGCTCAGGGCTCAAAGACTCAGGGCCATGGGAAGGGTGCAGACAGGCCAAGCTGCAGGGAGCTGCTCTGGGGTCTGCCCATGCTGACCCCCTCACCTGGGACCCTCGTTAACTCAGGAGTCACAGTTCATGCAGGGGCCAGTCCTCGGTGTCCTTCCTGCAGCTCCCTTCCCTGCCAAGAAGGGACAGCCTGAAGGCAGTGGATTAAAAGCGGGATCCATAAGACGTCTTGCTAATCTCTTCAGCCAGGTTTATCCCGTTAGATAAAGCCTTGCCAGTTTCTAAACATGCTCAGGTGGAGTCTCTGAGAACACACTGGAGCAGACAGCAGGGGTTTGGCTTGGAGAATCAGGAGAGAAAGACTGGCCAGAGCAAGGGGCTTGATCTGAGGTCTGGCTCGGACCACATGTCTCCCCAGAAGCACATTTCCAGGCCAAAATTTAAACTCCTTCAAAATTCGAACTTTCCTGTGGTCAAAAGACATCATTATTCCAGTTGAAAAGTGACAGATTATGAGAAAACATTTGCAATACATAAACAATGACCAAAAAAATGAATAAGCAAGTTTTTTTTTAAGATTCTATTTTTTTTTTCTAGAGACAGGGGAAGGGAGGGAGAAAAAGAGGGAAACATCAGTGTATGGTTGCCTCTTGCACGGCCCCTAGTGGGGACCTGGCCTGCAACCCAGGCACGTGTTCTGACTAGGAATCCAACCAGGGACCCTTTGGTTCACAGGCCAGTGATCAATCCACTGAGCCACACCAGCCAGGGCAGCAAGATTTTTTTTTAACTCTCACAATTTCACAATTAAAAGATTAACAAGCAACTGGAAAAACAGGCCAAAAGACAGGAACAAACCATTTACAATAAAAGAACTAGAAAAGTCCAACAATCTGGAAAAGATGTTTCATCCGAGTAGAAAACAGGGAAATGCAAAACTAGAACAATAATAAACCCCCTCCCTCCCAGGAACACACCCACACCCTCCCTTTCTCCCTCTTTGTCCCCATCACTCGTGCATCTCCTACACTCTAAGTATCCCTGTGGGAATTGCAACCCAGGGAGCAATGGCAATAGAAGCTCCTCCCGAGCTCACCCCCTGGTACTGTCTCCAAGGCCCCCTTTGCTCTGACTTCCCAGGGAGCCGAGGCTGCCCAGCCCAGGCTGTCCTGTTGCTACTTCCGCCCTAAGCCCTTCCTTGTTTCACTGTCCCCACTTTAATAAACATGCTCTCAAAGTCCCCCGGAATCATGCTGTGAAACCTTCCCTGTGTGAAATCAAGAACCCACACACTGACCAGCCAGCCCGACGCAGACCTGCTCCAGGCCGGGCTCCTGTCCAGTCGCGTGTTGACCCGGATGCACAAGAACAATGCACTGGACTTGCCGAAGTCAGAGACACGTCTTCTCTAAAAAGTCACGTTCTTAGGGTGTGACTGCACGCCACGACCGGCCCTGTCAGGAGTTTATGATCAGGTCACCCTGCAAGGTTACTCTCCATCACTGCCCTTGTCAGCTTTACGCAAAAGCCCCTTTCCCATCCACAGCGGAGTCCCCTGGCCATGAGGGGAGATAAGGAGGTGTCTTCCTGCAGCTTTGATTTTTCTCTAATGATTAGTTATGCTGAACATCCTTCCTGTGCATATGGACCATTGCAATGGGTTCTTTGGAGAAATGTCCAGTCAAGTTTTCCGTCCACTTTTTAATTGGGCTGATTTTTTTGTTGTTGAGTTGTAGTAGTTCTTTCTATGTTCTGGATGGTAATCCCTTATCAGATATGTGATTTGTAGTTATTTTTTTACTCTGTTGATAGTGTTGTTCGATGTACAAAAGTGTTCATTTTTAATTTTGGTCAAGTCCAAAATGTCTATTTTTTTCTTTTGTTGCCTGTGCTTTTCAGGTCATAACCAAGAAATCATTGCCAAGGCCAATGGAGTGACATTTTCCTTCTGTGTTTCCTTCTAAGAGTTTTATAGTTTTCATTCTTTTTTTAAATTTATTTTTAGATAGAGGAGATGGGAAGGAGGAAGAATGGGAGAAAAACATCAGTGTGGTTGCCTCTCATGTGGTTGTCCCCTACTGGGGACCTGGCCCACAACCCGGGCATGTGCTCTGACTGGGGATCGAACCGGCAACCCTTTGCTTCACAAGCCTGTGCTCAATCCACTGAGCCACACCAGCCAGGGCTCATTTTTTTTTTTTTATAAGAGAGAGTTTATTTAGAAAGGTACAAAGGTAGCAAAATTGAGCTGTAGAAGAAATGGGTTAAGGAAACAAGTTACAGAGGCAAATGAAGGCCCTTGGAGCTTAGGAAAGTACTCTTGAAAAGAAAGTCAAAGGGGCGTGCTCTGGAGGGAGAGTGGAAGGGAGGGGCAGGGGAGAGAGAAAGCACTACAGTTTTCATTCTTATGCTGAAGTCTTGATCCATTTTGAGTTAAAATTTTTAAATGATTTTAGGTTAAGGGTCTAACTTTGTTCAGCACTGTTCATTCAAAAGACTGTCCTGCCCTGGCTGGTGTGGCTCAGTGGATTGAGTGCTGGCCTGTGAACCCAAAGAGTCACCAGTTCGAATCCCAGTCAGGGCACGTGCCTGGGTTGCTGGGCCAGGTCCCCAGTAGGGGGTGTGTGAGAGGCAACCACACATTGATGTTTCTCTCCTTCTCTCTGTCCCTCCTTTCCCCTGTCTCTAAAGATAAATAAATAAAATCTTTTAAAAAGTAAAAAATAAGTAAAAAGACTCCTTTTCCCAATAGATAATGTTGTGCCTTATGTGTTCATAATGACAACTAGATCTAAACAATTCAAAATGTTGTACTGGCCAAAGGAAACACGTACAGACTCTGTTTTGGCCCAAAGGCACTGATTCGCAGCCCTAACTTCACTTTCACATCAGATCTTCCAAGTGAACTGAGGGGAGGGCCAGAGACTCAGCGCTGCGCGCCCGTCAGGGCCGACCAAGCACCGCGCCAGGAACCGGCAAGAAACTGGTCACTTAGCAGGTTCAAGTCTTAGCACGAAGGAGTTCAAAACTGAGTGAGACTTGTGAAAACATAGCTGTATTTTAGTATCGTGTGAGTAAATGCTTATAAATAAAGGGACTAAGGAGAAAGTAAGTAAAGAAAAGAGAATTCGAGTTTTAAAAAATGGGGAACAAAGGGAGGGGAAAAACAAAACAGTAGTAAAATGCCAAACTGGACCCATCACATTGAACATCTGTCAAAATTCTGTCACCAAACAGTGAAAACAAAGATAGTATAAAAGTAGACATATACTCTTGATGAGTCTGTAAATTTATTATTATTATTTTAATAGATAATAAGCTTCATTTTTTTAAGATTGTATTTATTTATTCTTAGAAAGGGCATGGGAGGGAGAAAGACAGGGAGAGAAACATCAATGTGTGGTTGCCTCGCTCACTCCCCCTACTGGGGAACACGGCCCACAGCCAAGGCATGTGCCCTGACTGGGAATTGAACCCGGGAACCCCCGATTCATATCTGGCTCTCAATCTATTGAGCCACACCAGCCAGGGAAATAAGCTTCGTTTCTTAAAGCAGCATTAGACTTAAAAAAAAAAAACAAAACCCAACTAAACAGAAAGTACTGAGTTCTCATAAACTTCTTTTCTCCAAGCAGTTTTCCTTATCTTGTGGCGGCGTGATACATTTGTTACAATAGGTGAACCAATATCGTTGTATTATTGTTAACTAAAACCCATAGTTACGTTAGGGTTAACTCTTTATGTTTATACATTTCTATGGGCTTTGCCAAATGCGTACTTTCGCGCACCCACTATTGGCACATCATACAGTATCAGACAGAATAGTCTCACCGATCTAATAGTGATCCCTGTGTTCTGCCTACTCATTCCCCTCCTCTCCCTGCCCAACTCCAGGCATCCACTATCTCTATAATTCGCCTTTTCCTTTTTCCTCTATAATTAAAATCATAAAGTATGTCATCTTTTCAGACTTGTTTCTTTCCCTTAGCAATGTGCAATTAACAGTCTCCATGTCTTTTTGTGGCTTTATATCTCTCTCTTTTTTTAAGATTTTATTTATTTATTTTTTAGAGAGGAGAAGGGAGAGAGGGAGAGAAACCTGACCCACAACCCAGGCATGTGCCCTGACCAGGAATCAAACTGGTGACCCTTTGATTCACAGGCCCGCACTCAACCACTGAGCCGCACCAGCCAGGTGTATCTCATTTCTATTTTTAACTGAATAGTATTCCATTGTATGGGTGTACCTCTGTTTGTTTACCCATTCACCTATTCAAGGGCATCTTGGTTTGCTTCCAGTTTTTGGCAATTGTAAATAAAGCTGGTATAAACACTTGTGTGCACGTTTCTGTGTGAATTACCTAGAAACATAGCTGCTGGGTTAAATGGTAAGACTACGTTCAGCTGAGTGAGAAACTGCCAAACAGTTTTCCCAGGAGACTGCACTGTTCGCAGCCCCACAGGCAATGAGCAAGAGCTCTCGCTGCTCTGCACCCGCACCAGTGTCTGCTGCTGTCAGTGTTCTGGATTTTTGCCATTTTAATAGGTGTGTAGTAGCATGTCATTGTGGTTTTAATTTGCTTTCCTCTCATGATGTAAGACGTGGAGCATCTTTTCACATGCTTATTTGCCATCTATGCATCTTCCTCGGTGAGGTGTCTGCACAGCACTTTTGCCCACTTTTTACTTGGATTGTTTGTTGTCTTTAGACTGTAAATTTTGTAGCCTTCTAAGATAGCAATTTATTTATCTCTATTAAAATTTAAAAAGCACATTCCCAGTGATTCAGCAGTTCCGCTTTTTAGAACAGCTTGTGCATAAGCAGAGGAGTTTTGTAACAAATCAATCTTGCCCTCAAATTCATGTCCACCTAATACCAAAGAATGCCTCATAATTAGAAAGGGCTCAAGGCAATAAGTGGGTCAAATCTCCAACCTGCAATCTCCTTTCTTTCCCTATGTGTATTTCTTCCACTAGATTCAGCACCTGCACACTCTCTTTAAGATCTCCGAATCACTAAGTAAAACCGAAGGAGTATTTCTTCACAGATAGAAGTATGAGACAGGAGATTTTTTCCTCCAGTGTGTTACCGGACTAAAGGGGCCCATTTGCCTGTGCACATCAAAGCCCAATCAAAGTAAACAGGAGCCCTGGACGGGTAGCTCAGCTGGCTAGAGCATTGTCCCAATATGCCAAGTCTGTGGGTTTGATC